CACTGTGTCTGTTCCATAACTTGTCTTTTATCGGCAGAAGATGTTTGGGAAACAACAGCAGACAAACATCCAGCGATGTCGCCAAAATGCTCTGATAAATCTTCAATTCTAAGCCAGGCACATTTTGTAGACGTAAATCGCGCCGGTAACGCCAGATTATTGCACACAGGAGTGAAACTTGGCCCGTTTGTCTCTCGCTCAGCCTGAAACATAAATTTGATAACTAACTTTATTTATACTGGATAGCTGTATCAGTTCTATAAACTGTTCTCCATAGAGTCTAGTAAGGATCATCTTTTATTGATCCAGTGTTACTACAGGAGGAAACCTAAACTACACTAACTTTATTTATACTGGATAGCTCTATCAGTTCTAAACTGTTCTTCCTAGAGGTCCAGTAAGGATCATCTCTTATTGATCCAGTGTTACTACAGGAGGAAACCTAAACTAAACTAACTTTATTTATACTGGATAGCTCTATCGGTTCTAAACTGTTCTTCCTAGAGGTCCAGTAAGGATCATCTCTTATTGATCCAGTGTTACTACAGGAGGAAACCTAAACTAAACTAACTTTATTTATACTGGATAGCTCTATCAGTTCTAAGCTGTTCTTCCTAGAGGTCCAGTAAGGATCATCTCTTATTGATCCAGTGTTACTACAGGAGGAAACCTAAACTAAACTAACTTTATTTATACTGGATAGCTCTATCATTTCTAAACTGTTCTTCCTAGAGGTCCAGTAAGGATCATCTCTTATTGATCCAGTGTTACTACAGGAGGAAACCTAAACTAAACCAACTTATTTATACTGGATAGCTCTATCAGTTCTAAACTGTTCTTCCTAGAGGTCCAGTAAGGATCATCTCTTATTGATCCAGTGTTACTACAGGAGGAAACCTAAACTAAACTAACTTTATTTATACTGGATAGCTCTATCATTTCTAAACTGTTCTTCCTAGAGGTCCAGTAAGAATCATCTATTATTGATCCAGTGTTACTACAGGAGGAAACCTAAACTGAACTAACTTTGTTTATACCGGATAGCTCTATCAGTTCTAAACTGCTCTCCCTAGATGTCTAGTAAGGATCATCTCTTATTGATTCAGTGTTACTACAGGAGGAAACCTAAACTAAACTAACTTTATTTATACTGGATAGCTCTATCAATTCTAAACTGTTCTCTCTAGAGGTCCAGTAAGGATCATCTCTTATTGATCCAGTGTTACTACAGGAGGAAACCTAAACTAAACTAACTTTATTATACTGGATAGCTCTATCAATTCTAAACTGTTCTCCCAAGCCAAATGATTCTCACCTGAATTCGTTTAACTTTCTGCAACTTGTGATTATCTTTAAACATATTCACCATCAACTGCGTCCTCAAGCCCCGGTCGTCTTCATCTATATCACCGCCTCCTATCAACTCGACGGGGGGAGTCAGTCCACGAGGACTGACATTTCTCTTCACAATTAGTTCGCTATCGGAGCTGGCTCGTTCCTCTGTATGCAACAGCGACGAAGTTCCCGATTTCTTTCCGATCTCTTTCCGAATACTTCCCGATTCCTTTCCGATTTGTCGTCGAGCGTTAGACAGGCGAAGCTTCTGAGACAACGTTTGCTCTAGTATTCGCAGTCGCTTTTTCTCCGTAATTTCTTTGTCTTCCATCGGAGCTGTAGTTTTGGATGGAGTGGTTGTTTTTGAAATGCTGGCCGAGTCTTTGTCATTCTTACGAGACGGTGCGCTTTTGAGCTGTAAAAATAAAATATATAGAGGATATTACACGGCGGAGCGAAGATATGTTTTTTATCTTCGAGTGGTGAAAACAATATTTTACGAACGAGCGCAGCGAGTGAGTAAAATATTGTTTTTAACACAAGAAGATAAAAGTCATATCTTCACGCCACCTAGTAATGCTGTGTTTATTATATAGTCCCAAGCAAAAAATTGTGAAATTTCACGCTCAAAAGCAACTTGGAAAAAGGCATGTGATCGATATCTTCACTAGTGAAGATATGGAAAATATCTCACTGTGTATTTTTCAATATCTCACTCTCTACTATATAATAAAACTGTAGATGGGTTATTGTACAGGAGTTATAGTTTTTACGTTGCATGAATCAAACAGTGTCGAAAACTATAACTCCTTTATCACATCTGTGACACAAGTTTGATAACTGCTTGTGCAATTTTCTGCAGTCTAAAGTTTCATGTTGTCTGCACATGTACTTTCTTTGGAGACACCATTTGCCTCCTGACAAATCGAAAATGATCAAGATAGTGACTCTGACTGATTTACATATTGTATTGACATACGAATGTTGACATTGCTTTTTAGTCTTCAATATTTGAGCGAGTCATGCTTTGGAAATGACAATAAATTTTTATTACCCAACCCTTGAGTTGTTTTGTTTTTCATTTACCCAACCTTTTACTCACTCAAAATTTTGTTTACCCAACCCTTTTCTCTTCGGTGCCACCCCCCAC